AAAAGTCAAAATAAAAAAGAGATATAGGGAACAAGGGGTTTGTGGAGAGGGGAAGGCGATCAGAGGGAGAGGAGAGAGGGAAGGCAGGGTAGGGAGGTAAAAATGATTAGGCTTTGACAGTATATGTGCCAACTCCCTCATGAATGTAACGGTCATATATTGCAAACATACTATAAAAAGGGGGAACAACTACAGCTAAGAACTGGAGAACACAGACCCCAGAGCACCCAGGACAACCCCCAGGCGCTTCTACACCATTTTGCAGGGTCCCCAGCGGCACGGAGCCTCCTCCACTGCAGGAGTAGCTGCTCAGCAGTGTGCCCGGAAGGCTCCTTCTTCCCTGGCTCATTCCACCTGTCCCTGCCCGTTGTTCCTGGAATTTCCTCTAAGGAAACTCCTTCCCCTGGGTGTTGTCTTGGTATTGGCTTCTGGAGGTCCTGGCTGGTTACCTACATGTGACCTCAAAGCAAATGACCATAGGAGTAGTGGTTGGACACATGCATCGCCTATCTCAGGATGCTGGGTGTAGCTCAGCTGGGCCCCCTTGTCCTCTGTTTCAGGGATTCTGCTAAGCCATGGTCAAGGTGTCAGCCAGGGTTTGGGTTCCCACCAAAGATCCACATGAGGAGCTACTTTTGAGCTCACTGAGAAGGTTTTTGGCAGGATACAGTGCTTGTGGGTGTGGAACAGGGTCTTCATTCTTATCTGTTTGTTACTTATCTGTTGTTTCTTCTGCACAGAGCTCACCAATATAATGCTTTGCTTCAACACAAGCCAGGAAGGAAGCAAGAAAGGGAGAGAGAGAGACAGAGAGACAGAGACAGAGACAGAGACAGACACAGACACAGACACAGATACAGACACAGAAGTTACAATTTTATGTAACCAAAGCCAGAAATGATATCCCATCACTTTGGTCACTTTGGATAAACTGCTAGAAGCAATTCCAGGTCCTGCCTCCCTTCAAGGGGAGGGAATCACATAATTTCAGGAGTACCAGGAGGTGTGGACGCCTGGAGCTGGGACCACTTTTTAGATATCTTTCTGCCACACCAGTTAGCACACTCTTAAAAACAGCAACCTCAGAAGTAACTTATGGGCCTTGGGAAGTTCTGCGTGGATTCTGAGGAAAGCCTCACAAGTGTACGAGGAGGCATGTGAAACAATGTCAGTGTTTACTATAAGAACAAACTAGATTCTCGTCAGTGGAAAACTTGCTAAATGACTCAAGGCATAATGAGCTCTTCAACACTGAAAGAGGATGTGGTAAGGCCAAGACATGTTACTCAGTGAGAAAACAAGTTGTAGAACTATTCCTAGAACATCAGGCCATTTAAGGCCCAACAAACAATATTACGTACTTCTGTATTACAGTTACACACACACATAGAATATCTGAAAAGTGTATCTCATCCAACTGATCACAGTGACCATGTATGGGGGCATTAAAGGAAGCTAAGAGCTTTGAGTACGATAGTCTAAAGGGGCTTTTTGCCTTTTTGGGTATCAACACCATAGACTCTGGCAGCCAAGCTACTTGGCTTCAAATCCTGGCTCTGCAGCTTAGTAGGTAGCTGTGTAACCTTGGGCAAAACTCTTAACTCACTGAAATCTCTGTCTTTGTCTCAAAGAAGGATATTATAATCTATCTCAGAACTGACTTTTGTGAGGTTCAAGTACAGAGGTTCCTTGGTACAAGAACTTGATTCTTCCCGTGATTCTGGTCACAAACCCAGCTGAATGAGAACCAAACCAAATGCACCAGTTAAGATCCATGCTGGCAACCCCTCCCCGCCCCGGTAAGCAGCTATAAGCATGGCAGGCTATGGCGGCCCAGGACGGGAGCCACCGGCCTTTACTGGGACCCGAGCCATGCTGGGACCTGGAGCATCGGGAAGCCAAGCAACCCCTCCCCATCTGCCTGTTTTGTTTTGTTGAACTTCAATATACATGAAGGTATGGACAGCTGTTTTGAAGAGAACGAGAGACTCTATGACAGCCATTAGTGACTTCCCTATTGTCAGGTTTTGAAGACCTAAATTGCCTTCCTCATTCTGTTCAGATCAGTTCTATACTATGTTGTTTTGTATGAATTCTCTGTATGTGAAGGCATGAACAACTATTTGGAAGAAAACAAGAGACAATATAATAGACAGTGAAGATCTCAGGTTGTCTAGCTTTGAAATTTATATCTCTTACATTGCTTTCTTATGTCCTGTTTTGTTTTGTTGTGTTTAATTTTACCCCCTTTAAAATAAAAATAAAAAAAATTTTAAAAATCCCCCCCAAAAAAGAGCCATGCTGGCCTTATAGAGAAACTTGGTTCATTTCTCATCCAGTTCAGTTTGCAACCAGAATCTTGAAGAGAACTGAGTTCATGAACTGAGGTAGCACTGTACCATGATTTAACAGAGCTTTGGGTACATATAGCAGTGTTCTGGAGCCAGCCCACCCCAGCTCCTGTGAGCCAGTTGTGAGCAGCCCCTCTCATTCACTTACAGGAACACTGGGCGATAACTCAAAATCCCCAGTGGGGACATTCCCACCGTGGGCATCAGCAAACACTAATAATGGAAACTTTTAAAAATCCAGTTATAAAACATTTTCTAGCATATTCCCAGCACATCATAAGCAGTCAACAAACACTAGCTATTATTATCCATAATGCACTGATTTGCATAAGGAGGATGATTTATATATCATTTCCGCAATTAAGAAATGTGTGGATGTATCATTGTGTGAACAAGGAACTGGGTGGCTTTTTGGGAAAGGGAGCGTCTGTGGGGGCTAGTGTCATGGCAGACCAGCAGTGCCTTCCTAAATGAACACAGTCACCTTGGGGAGTAGAAGAAAAAGTGGCTGGAGTGTGGCTCAGCTCACAGCAGATGGTGACTCACAGCCTGTAAATACCCCTGAGCGGGGGGACGTAGAGAGGAATGAGGGGGTGAAACATTTCTCTTCTCCGTCCTGCTGAAAACTCAACTGCTAGCATGTGTCTTTGCACGTCAGTTTCAGTAGAACCCTGGACGGAAAGTCTTGGCTGGAGCTCTGCCTGGGTATCCCTCCCCAGGACCCCACGTGACTGACAAGCCAGCTGGGCCCTGGTAGGTCCTAGCATTCATATGAACATTGTGACAGCACAGAGCAAGGTGGAAGGACATTTTCTTTTTTTGAGTTTCTCAGGAAAAAACTTAAGGTTTTTAAAAACTATTTAAAACCTTCTTTGTCCACCTCAGTGTTTTCACCTTGCTCACGCCAGGCATCTGCACGCCTGGGACTCTCTTGCTTTGCTATATCTATTCTGTCTGTGCCACAAATCACAAGTGTCCACTCCTAGGGCAGTTGGCATCTAATCTACTTTCCTCTAATACTCAACCCCACTTCCTTCTCAGCAGGGCTTTCAACTTGGTAATCTCTTCCCAGTAATTTTCCTAGTAAACAAAAGTAAAACAGAATCATATATGATTAAATGTCTTAGGATAGGCTAGGACAGGATGGGGTATGATAGAAAATGCAGAATACATTGCATAAGTAAAGATTAGTTTAATTAAAAGATTTTTTTGAATTTTATGTCTCTCTGTGTCTCTGTCTCTGTCTCTGTCTCTCTCTCTCTCTCTTTCTCTCTCTCTCTCTCTCTCTCTCTCTCTCTCTTTCTCTCTCTCTTTCTCTCTCTCTCTCCTTCTTCTCCCTCTGTGTGTGGGGACCCAAAGTAAAAATTGCATCTCTTGTAAGTGGCAGTCAAGAAAGTTTCAGTCATTATTTAAGTATGTCTTCTCAAACTAAAGTAGTTGGTAACTAAAAACCACATTTTCTTGACTCCCTTGCAGCTAGGATTCCAGGGTAATTCACGTCCTCTCAGTCAGATGTACCTGTGTAAGATAAGGAACCTGGAAGCAAGCAAAGGCTTAATTTCTGCCGTTACCCTCTCAGTTGCAAGCTGAGTCCTGAGAGTCAGGCTACTTGCTACATGTGGTCCTGCAGGCTACAAGGCATCCTGAACATAGACTAAGGAAAGTCCTCCACTTGGAGTGGGATGTGGACAGGATAACCCTAGAGTCCCTGGTACTCCACTGAAACAGAAACCTCAGAGTCTGACACACAGAAGGAGAAGGAGAGAGAGAGGGAGAGAGAGAGAGACAGAGACAGAGACACAGAAAGAGACATATAAAATTCAAAAAAACCTTTTAATTAAACTAATCTTAACTTATGCAATGTATTCTGCATTTTCTATCATACCCCATCCTGTCCTAGCCTATCCTATGACATTTAATCATATATGATTCTGTTTTACTTTTGTTTATTAGGAAAACTGCTGGGAAGAGATTACCAAATTGAAAGCCCTGTTGAGAAGGAAGTGGGGTTGAGTATTAGAGGAAAGTAGATTGGATTAGAAAGTTTAAAGTAGCTAAACTTTGGGTGACAGGACATCTACAGGAAGTTACTTTTCAATCACTGGGACAAAACATCTGACATCCACAACTCATAGCAGGAGAGGCTGAATTTGGCTGCTGGTTGCAGGGGACTCAGTCCATGGCCAGGGGGTTCCCAAATAGAAACAGCATGGTAGAGGAAGGCTGCTCAAACCATAGTGGCCAGGAAGCAGAGAGGCGAGGACAGAGACAGAGAGACCGAGGGAGATGGAGCGGGGTCAAGAATACGCCCTTCCAAACCACACTCCCCACGACTCCCTTCTCACCACGCTCCGCCTCCTAACAGTACCTTTAGCCATGAACTCACCAGTGGATTAATTCACTGATGACTACAATGCTCGCAAGATCTGATCACTAACTGTGAAAACCCCAACTCTGAGCACATGAGACTTGTGGGGTATTCTAGATCTAAACCACAACAATATTTAAATTGGCCCATGTTGGTTCTTTTCCAATTAAATCAGCTTAGCGTTTCACATTTCTTTTCATTTTCTTATTTCCCTGTTGCTCAGGTTGACTTAGCAAGTGAGGCATCTTTCTCCTGTCAGAGCAGAGCTGATGACGAAGAGATTGAAAATTCATATTTATTTTTTCATATCCCTTTAAAAAACAATGTAGCTGCTTTACAACAATTAAATACAGTTTCCGCACCAACCACTTTTTGATCTCTGTTCCTGCTTTCCTCAGCCCTTTCGGAGCCTTTTGCCAGCCCATGGGAACTCTTCATTTTATAAGATAGATGTTGCCTGATTCTAATACTTCTAATAAATGCCAATCAAGAATGTCAGCCACATTTGCTGTAACTTTCTTTTTCTTTTCTTTTTTGACAATAGGAAAATGTCAGGTCACACAATGGGTTGTGTGCGGCTGATCCTGAGTCACAGCCAGGGGTCCAGAGCCAGAGCTAGGGATCCAGGGAGAGTAAGTGTTTCATCATTAATCTGAAATTCAAATTGACTCTGGCCTCCTCTACTTTTGTTAATGCTGGCAATTCTAGGCGGCAAGCCCCTGAAGGAATTCAAAGCAGAGAATTAACATTTCACCTAAGATTTAATAAATACAGTTATTTACAAAACAGAAAGTTTTGTCTACATACGTAAGTTCAAAGGCGTATTATTAAGTTCCAGAAGCATGCAGGTGAGGCAGAGTCTCCACCTACGAGGCGCAGCATCGGATGCAGGTGAGAGACTCCACCGACCTCCACGTGGCCTGCAGGGACCCGCAGCTGTCTCACTTCTTACCTTGCCCTGACATCGCCCTTCCAGGCCTTGCAAGCCCAGCATCTCCTTACACATTCCCGTGTGGAGAGTGGTTCAGGATCATTACTAGGATGCAGTCATTACATAGATTTAGAAACAGAGGTTCAGAGAGGTGGAGTGATACACCCAAGGTCACGCCGAGACATCAGAGGGCCACGGTTGCAACTGGGGTCTGTTGCAAAGGTTTTCTGTTCTTCGAGGAGTCCAGCACGCAGTTGGTCTCTTACTCTGCAGGCAGCCCCAGGTGTCAGAGGGGGGAAGGAGGCTGGGCCAGCTGCTGGCCTTGGTGCCGGTCATGTCTTCGCTGCAGCCGGGCGTGGAGGTGGCAGACCCTCCTGGTCTCCTGGGCGGAGAAGAAGGAGGCGGCGATGGCGTGCCGCAGGCGCCGGGCGTAGGTCTCCAGCAGCACGGTGGAGCCGGCCAGGAGCTGCAGGGCTCCGGCGGCCAGCGCCGAGGCGGTGCAGGGACGCTGGGCCGGCAGCAGGGGGCAGTCGCGAGAGGTGAGGCGGAGCTCCCAGGAGTAGGCTTTGTGCTCCGAGAGGAAGGGGTTCTCAGGGGGTGGGTGGTTGAAGAGGAAAGGAATGAAGCCCAGGACAGTGTACGTTGCCTTCAAAAAAGAGAAAAAGCCGGTCAACAGAGGCCACTGGCCACCGACTTTCCCTGCCTCCTGTGGAGACTTGCAGAGATGCTCCCGTGCAAAATGGGTACAGAAATAACCTCCTGGCTCTGGGGTCTGGGGAGGGCCAGATGTGACCAGGCTGAAAGGGAACTCTTGCCAAATAAAAAGCACCTCACATGCTATTACCATCTCTGAGCAGAGTATTTTAAGGGAACCATTGGCATTTACATTTGTTTGTTTGCTTGCTTGGTTTTGGGCACTGAGGACTGAGCCTACAGCCTTCGCCCTGAACTAGATCTCCAGTGTTTTTTACATTTTTAAATTTTGAGATAGGCTCTCCCTTGGTCGCTAAATTGCTCAAGTTGGGCTCAAATTTTGAGTCCTCCTGCCTCAACTTCCCAAAGTGCTGGTATTACAGGCATAAACCACACGCCCAGCTAGCATTTACTCTTAGTGAGCCTTATGAATCCTCAGGAGGTGCTAGTCCATCAGATGGGCACAGTTCTATGAAGCTGACCCTCATTTAAAAGATGAGGAATCCAAAAGCACAGTCCCAGCCAAGGTGGGTTCCAAATGCTGCTTGGCAGCGTTAGATCCCACAGACTCTGGGGGACATCAGAGCCAGGAAGAGGGGCGTCCAGGGAGGCAGGGAGGTCCAAAGTGAACTAACAGATCTAGCAAAATAACATCTGTGTTAAATAATAATAAGTGAACTATTTTATACACATACAATTAAAGTGCTAACTGATAAGGAAGCATAATCTCAAGGTTTAATTGCCAGCATTTTCTTCTTAATGATACATAAAGTACTAGGGTGCTTTTGGATTGATGGGACCTTAGCTTTCATCCTTTGTTTGTTTTGGTACTGAGGATTGAGCCCATTGAGCTACATTCCCAGCCCTCTTTGTGATTTGAAAGAGAGTCTTGCTTTGTTGCTAAATGGCCTGGGCTGGGCTCGAATTTTTGATCTTTTTGCCTCAGTCTCCCAGAATGCTGGCCTAATAGGCATGCACATCTATGTCTGACTAAAGACACCTTTGATTTTCTCTAAGATTTTAAATGAGGAAACACAGTTACACACTTAAAACAGTGCCTGGCAAACATCTTTTGTGTGGCTCATGATAAGAAATGCATTTTACAGGATTTTCTGAGCGTAGATTATATGGTACTTGAAGAAAAACTTCACAAAACAATACAAATCTGTACCACTTATAATAAACTCTGATAATTTTCTAACTTATTTTGTTTTTAAAAAAAGAAGCTGTGACCACCTAAATTGATTACTTACAATTCAAAAACTAATTTTCTAGTACATAATTGGCACTTGATAAACATAAGCTAGTATTGTAATTAGCTTAAGCTCTGATGTTTTGGTATATTTTATGCAACAGAATTTTGTGTGAGAACTCACTATTAAAACGATTGTGACAAAAGAAAAGACTGAGAAACACAAACCTTAATCTGTGAATAAATATATCCAACAGTAGGTAGTAGTAAGCATTTTATATATTTCCATTCAAGGAGTAAATGCTTTAGGCTTTGTGGACCACACAGTCCCTGCTGTGATTGGTCAACTGTGCCTTCACAGAGCAGCCACCACTAGGACATAAACAGATGGAAGGCTTCATTCCAATAAAGTTTTATTGACAAAACCTGAAACCGACTGTTGGGTTTGCCCTGAGGGCCACAGTTGGCCGACTCCCAACTGAGACCATTTCTGAGCCTTTTATCCAGTCGGAGATCCAAATGAAATATCAGTAGCTACTCTCTATGAAACATCTTTTATGTGGCTTGCAATTTACCATGTACTTTTAGAGACATTATCACATTTTAAGACTCACATAGCTTAGGGTACAGAGGGTTGGTTGATTTGTACAAATGAGGAAAATGAGGTCAGGACATCTTGCTACTTATGAAGCGTGACCTTGGAATAAGTCACTTGAAGGTGTCTGATCTCAGCATCTTCACCTGCAACAGAGTTGAAAACAAAAATCCCCTTCCTAGGCTTGCTGTGGAGGTCAGAGGATTTCATTTATCGATGCCCCAGGACCCCTGGCTGCAACTTGGAGGCAGGTAAGATGTAAATGAAGTCAAGAGAAATCACTCTGCTCCATCTCCCCACCATTTTACTTACATCGTACTTGACCCTGAGTGTGATGGGCACAATGGGCAGCTTCTGAGCCCACCTCACAGCTGTCTGTGCCAGGAGGAAGGCCATGTAATCTGTGGCCACTGTCACAGCTGTGGCCACCAGGAGCAGGACAAGCAGTCCTAGCTTTAGGAGACACCTCAGCAGCTCTTCCTGTGACAGCTTTGGCTGGGCCACCTGGAGCAGCCAGGCTGGTGGAGAGTCCATGAGGTGTGTGGCCTGGGCCTGGGCTAGCTGCTCGGCCAGTCTCTGTGTCACATAGATGTTGTCAAACTGCAGGTCCGTCAGGTATCGATGGAGGTACCAGGCTGACTCCACCAGGAGGCCAAGCAGAAACAGTCCTGTGACTACCCGCTGGGTACCCACTGCTACTGCCAGCGCCAGAGACTCTAGGCCAGAGAAATCCTCCTGGACCCGCTGAGCGACCTTGAGCATGTGAAGCTGGAAGGCAGAGCCATTGCCCTGGATCTCAAAGGTCAGGCCCCGGCTGCCTGCTCGACCTGCGGAGCTCAGCGCCCTGGACGCAGCATGCAGATGGTGAGTGGTGTTGAGCAGACTCTCCACGGAGCCCTCAGTGACACATCTCAGCACCTGCCCAGTGGCACGCACATTGGCCAAGACATTTGGCACCACAGCAATGGCCAGGGTGGCAGTACTGTAAGACAGGAGCAGCTGACGGCCTTGCTTTGTGCCTAAGGTGGGCACGCTGAGTGCAAACAGGCAGCGGATGGGGGGCACCAGGCCCAGGGCCAGGAAGACCAGGAGGCCACAGACCGTAGCCACTGTGGCTGAGAGTTCCAGTGGATAAAGCCGTGAAGACATAAGCCAGTGATGAGCCAGACCTGCAGCAGTGACTGCCAAGGATCCGCACAGGAGGAGGTGGGTCAGCAGCTGGCTATGGTTGGCAGGGACAGGCTGGCAGAAGGTATCCCAGGCAGCGAGCAGTGGGACACATGCCTTTCGGATCCCCAACTGCCAGAACCTCCACCTGTACACAAAGAGGAGATGCTTTTTCAGGGGGGTGAGACAGGAAGGAGTTGGCCTATGCACCCACACCGCCCAATGGCGGCAGGCTGCCACCCTGTTAGCTATACAGGCAGGAACACTTTCCAAATGGACCAATCAGAGTCACCCAGCCATACCCATGTGACATATACTGAGCCAATCAGAGCCTTCTCCAGGATTATTCTCACTGGAGCTATCAGGGAAGAGCCCCAAGCACTTCCTGTGGGGGTCAATGTTGGGGCTGCCTGAGATTTTATAATTACAGCCTTGTGAAGGAAGCTGGCCCAAGAGAACAGATGAAAGTCACGAAGCAAGAAACTCAGGAGAGGGGCAGAGGGAGGGAGAGAAGGAGGGAGGCGGAGAGAGTATGATCGAGAGAGTCAGAAAGAACGAGTTCTTGATGAACTTCGGTGTCTGCTCAGTAATTTAGGGGCAGGGAGGGCTGCCCAGGTGGCCTTTGAGGAGCCTTTTCTGCTCTGTTTTCCTTATATTTATTGAGATAAGTGCTAGCTGTTGGAGAAGCAGAAATGGTGAAACAGGCAACATGCCAGGCTCCGTAGTTATGCTTCAGAGTGAAAGGGTTTTGGCCCAGGTAGGACACTGTAGCCAGGAAAGCCACAACCGGAAGCAGGAAGCCCCATCTCCCCTGCCCCTAGGAAATTACCTGTGACGCCATCTTCCCGCCCCTGGAAATTTACATATGGCGCCAAACCCAGGACCAATGGGCTACCTGTGCATCCCTAATGCCCGCCTTAGGTTCCACCCCAAACTGAGGCTATTTACAGGCCCCCACGCCACGTGTCAGAGAGATCGCTGGATGCCAGCGGTGGGGGTGCCGGTCATCTCTCTCCCTGTTCTCAGAATAAAGGCCGCTTTTTATTTTATATTTCTCATCTTTTGTTAATATTTTTCATCTTTTGGAAATAACCCTAGCACAGAGCAACAGCAAAGACACAGTGAGAAGAGGTTGCTCTGCCAGCATTCACCGGTGTGCCCTCCTGCTGGTTCAGACTAACGGTTAGCAAGGCAAGCCACGACAGCAGGGTGCTGGAGGAGGAGATGGATCCTCGAAGATGAGGGAGAAAGTGTCAGATCATTGCCTGTGTGTTGGGCATGAGTTAACTCGTGAGCAATCTCCTGCAGGAATTCACGGTCAGACTGGAAGATTTAAATGGGATGTCAGAGTGTAGGCCCATCAAAAAAGAACTCTCAGCTGGGCTCCACAGTGCACACCTGTAATCCCAGCTACTCAGGGACTGAAGCAGGAGAATTGCAAGTTTGAGGCCAGCGTGGAAACTCAGTGAAACTCCATCTCAAAAGAAAAAAAGAAAAGAGTTGGAGATGTAGCTCAGTGGTAGAGTACCCTTACACTTAATCCTGAGTGTCACACACACACCAATCCAAACCCAAAACATCTCTGGACCTGGACTGAGGAGGGTGGGTGGAGGGTCATCGATTTTCACCTGGAAGAGACAGAGTCAGGGAGGCTTCTGGAGGAGGTGACATTTGAGCTGGGACTGCAAGGCAAGTATCAGTTCTTAAGTGCAGGAGAGTGTCCCTAACTGAAAGCGGAATAGCACGTGCAAAGGTCCTGAGCTCTGAGTGGCATCCTTAGGAAACAGGGTTGAGGTATTGAAACTTGGGGAGCTGTGATCCATCAGGCCAGAGGGGCTGGAGCAGAGGTCACAGTCCTGGGGCCCAAGGGCTGACTGATGTGAAAATGCACTGTATTTTGCTGCACAGTGTGTGTGTGTGTGTGTGTGTGTGTGTGTGTGTGTTGCTTCTATATGGAAATAGGAAGTTTCACGTTAAAATCTGAATTTCTACTCTGTTTGAGAAACAAAGGGATCTGGGCTAGAGTTCTGGGCTCTGCAACTGCATCTAGACCACTGCTCCTCTGGTACGGGTGCGCTCCCTGCAGGCCGAGCCTCTCTCCACTGTGCAGGCCGGTGTGCACCCCAGCAGGGAAGGGCATGGCCTCCAGGGCAGGTAAAACCGAGCTAAACACCTCCTGCTATGTAATGAGCATTTGGAACAGGGTAGCTGTTGGTAACTAGCAATAGAAATGATTTTAAGAACTCAAAGCCAACGGTATGGCATGTTTGGTGCTGAGGTCCGTGCTGGGGTCTCTGTCACTTTACTTGACAAAGGAACTATCTGCCATTCCCTGAGGACTCACTCTGAGCCAACCCTGTGCATGCATCTTCTCATTCACCTCTCACAACAGTTTCATCGACATTATTATTATTATTCCCATTTTACAGATAGGAGAACTGAGGCTCAGAGAGGTAAGGACTTACCCAAGGGCAGAGCTTGGGATTTGGACTCATACCTATCACAATGGACTGCTGACTTTTTCTTGCCTGTGGCCCTCTAGAAAGTCCCCAGACCTACCCGGTCCTGATGAGGTGCTCGACAGCTCCGTGGAGGCCCCTCATGGTCTGGAGCAGCAGTGGGTTCAGGCAGGTAGTCTGCGGCAGGGTGCCAGGTGGAGAGGAAGTGGGGCACCCGCTGGGACTTGGGAAGCCCCGCTGCTTCTGCTTTTCTACCCTTTAATGAAGCTCTCCTGGCTGCCTTGTCCCGCCCTGCCTGGGGCCACCTCCTGAGGGTTGGGCAAGCTGCCTCCTCTTCTCATGGTAGGCAGGGACAGGGGAAGGTGTGGGAGGAGAGAAACATTGCCAAGCCACCTCTGCAACCCTACTAGAAGGAAGGTAGAATTAGCCCATTTTGCAGAGGAGGAAATTGAGGTTCAGGGAAACTGGTAATACAGCTCATTAGCAGTAGCACAAGACTAGGACTCTGCCCTGCCTGCCTCCTGCAGTTATGTGTCCCAAGGGGAGCCTGATGCTTGACACTTAGAGACTGAGAACCCACAGGAGATGAGATCTAAGCTAAGATCAGAGGCCAGGGTCTACCACTGTGCTTCGCCCAACTCCCGCAGTGGAGGGCTAGTTCACAGACCTGCGACATTAGCTGAAAACATGCCAGCTCCGTGTTCATCCCTTCTGCAGCCCTTTGCTCTGCAAGCCCACTTCCAGGCCGTCCTTGGAGTCCATTCCCACTTGGAATGCGGGGCTCCTCCCCCAGCATTGCTGCCCCCGTCACTTCCAGCTCGACCTGCACCCCAGGGGTCCTCCTCTGAGCCCCCAGCCCAGAGACAGATGGCAGGGGAGGCAGCCAGGTAGCATTCGGACTGCTGGTCATTTTTCCTTACAAGGACATGCTGCCTGGGCTACTGCTTCCGGCCTGAAGTGGAGCATCCTGTGGCTTGGTTAGGGGAAGTGACTTGTCATGGCCACTCAGCAACTGAGTGAGACACCTGTGGTTAGACACCCAGAGAGCTCACTGTGTTCCCAGGCTCTGAGCCCTCTCTTCCCTACCCCGGAAGCCAGGAGCTGCCATACTGGCAGGAACCAGACATACAAGGTTGTTCAGGAGCGGCAGCCCCATGTGCCTGTGTCTTGCAGGGTGGCTGGAGGAAGCAGGTGACTACAAAGTGTGACCTTCGGAAAGGGTGACCTTTGTTGGAAAGGGAGCTTTGTCAATCACTGTGCCTTGTGACCTTGACCAAGACACTGCCTCTCTCTGAGCATGTGTGTCCCCGCCATAGCGAGAAGAACACAGAACCTATGTGGCAGGGAGGTTTGAGGAGTCACCTGTAATGTGCAGAGAGAGTTCAGTAAGCACAGCTTCCCCGGCCCTGCTTCCCCCTGGCTGGTTTCCAGCTCTGCTGGAGTGAGACCCAGCCTGCTGGGACCCTCTTGTCCAGGCTCTAAGACGACCCTGTAAGTATCCCACGACCTGGGTCCTGTTGCATAAGAAATACCAAGGTGTTGGCCTGGTCCCAGAAGACGCCACCAGCATTTGCCCAGTTTCTGCTGAGCAACAGGAAGCTGATTGGTTGAGACCGTGAAGGCTTCTTCCAGGAGGCCTCTGGTGGATGCGTAGGATCTGGACGCTCAGGGGGAAGAGAGAAGGGTACAAGATATTTTTAGCTTTTCTTGGACATGTAGGCAGTCACCTCTGCCCATAGAAGGCTGGCCTGCCCTCAAGGCCTACAACATCCGGAGGGGACTTCTGAGTCATCACCAACAGAACCAGCTGTGTTAAGGGGAATTTCTGGGGGAAGGATTCAGAGCCATAAGACAGAGGGGAAGTGGTGAGCCCCAGGCCGGCCCAGCAGTGCAGCCTGGGATCGGGCCGGAGAGGAGTTTTCGGCCTGTGGGCAGAGTGTGGCCACCGTCCAGACGGTTGGAGATTGCAGCCAGGCAGCTAAAATCTGAGCATGCAGACATCGGTGTCCGCCAGGAAAAGACTGGGGGCCGCCAGGCGAGGCACCACGTAATACTGTTTTCTAATAAGCACACAAAACTGAAATTACTTTTAACAAAATATTTTACTCACCCTCTTATAGTAAAAAGATTAACTTTTCAACACGAGAACACTGTTAATAGGCTACCGTTCTTGCATTTTCTCACACTGCGGCTTTAAAACCTGGCGTGTGTTTTGCACTCAGGACGTGCCTCAGTTTGCACACCCGTGAGACGTGCACGCCTTCAGTAGTAGCTGCACCTCGCAGGGGCTACGGCATTGGGCAGAGGTGGCCCATTTCTGTGGTCAGCACGTGGTTCTGTTGGGCAGCGCTCCAGGCTGTTAGAACTGTGTCCACCGCTGCCAGATGGACCTTCCTGATGGTGTAGGAGTCTTAGGTTCTAACGCCCTCGTGGGTGGGGAAGGTGCCAGTGTGGGAAGCAGGGCGGGACGGTGGCAAGGGAGACAGTCCCTGCCTCGACTTACCACCTCACCCCACTACCCAGCTCCAGGTAGTTACTGCCGTGAGGGAGCCACAGGGCTAGATCTTCTAGCATTTTCTTTTCCAGAAGCAGAGATCCAGCTTTTTAGGTGAAAGCTTCTGAACCTTAAAGATTAGCAGCCAATTAATAATCTAGAATTCTTTGATGGAGAGGCAGGCGGAGCCCCCCAAGGGCTGGATGTGCAGCTGGGCACCACCAGATAGCAGCTTCAGTGGGGCCTGCACCCCGCACTGCATTTGTGTGGTTTGTTCTCCGGACCTGCTCCTGGTCCCCCTGCCCCAGGGAGGGACAGGCGTGGGCCTGGCGAGGCTGCCCTGAGGGCCCGCTGCCCTCCAGCCTGTGTTGGGCTGTGTTAGATGTCGGGGCTGAACCACGGTGCTGGCCTTTTGGGCCAGGTGTTTCTGAGTGTTTCTGTGAGGGTGGTTTAATGCGATTAATTACTGTTGAAACACATGGACATGGAGTAAAGTGCATTGCCCTCCGGAGTGGGCGGGATCTGACCCAATCAGCAGACTGGAGCCGGGAAAGCCCCGCGGTGGGCAGCCTTAGCCCACCTCTTTCTCGAGTCCTGGCCTGCTCACATCCCCGCCGGTGTGGGCTCACTCGGACCCCACGCTCAGCCTCTCTCTCTCTCAGTTCTCCCTTATCTGTACCTCCACTTCCCCCCATTTCAGCTACCCATGCGCTACGGTTTGAATATGTGTACCCTCAAGGGCCCATGGTTGAAGGCTTGGTCACCAGTCAGTGGCACCATTCGGAGACGCTGGAACCTTGTGGGGTGGCCCATGGGAGGAAGTCAGGCTCCTGGGGGCCCTTGAAGGGGAGCCTGGGACCCCAGCTCCTCATCTTCTTTCTCTCTTTGGCTCCTGGATGCCACAAGGTGAGCAGCTTCCTCTGCCAGATGCTCCTGCCATGACATATGGACTGACTGCCAGCTGAAACCTCCAACACTATGAGCCTAAGTAAACCTTTCCTCTTTTTAAAAGGACTGTCTTCAGCATTTTGTTACAGGGATGAAAACCTGACTAATACACTATGATCAACTGCATTTCAAAAATATATGAAAAAAATTTTTACAAATAGGCAATCTGTAAGTTTTAAATACCCCTTATTATAGTACTGTTAATAGTTGGTTTCATTAATCTCTTACTGTACAATTTATAAATTAAATTTTATCACAGGCAAAGAGTGTGGTGCAGTCCACAGTTTTGGGCATCCACTGGGAATCCTGGAATGCATCTCCTAAAGATAAGAGGGAGTGCTGTACACACACACACACACACACACACACACACACACGCACGCATGATTGCTGGTCTGGAGAACCCCAACTCACTCCACCCCCATGGGAGAATGAGGGAGAATGACTCCCTCCCTCCGGAGTCCTGGGCTCTGTGTGTCCTGGCCCCCTCCTGTCAATGATTCTCTCCTTTAAGGTCCAGGGCTGGAACATGCTCTCCCATCCCCTTCACTCTCTCCTCGCACCACGGTTCTGCATTTCCCCTGTGATCATCTTATGCTCTAGAGGCTCATACCTTGTATTTAGAGCCCTAAACAAACTTTCCTTGAATCAATTGTAGCTTGCTGCGTCCTGTTGGGACCCTGTGTGCCCTCATTTATCTGCGGAGGAAACTGAAGTCCCAAGCAGTGGAGGGCACTCAGCACACAGCACTCAGCACTCAGCACACAGCACTCAGCACTCAGCACTCGAGGTTACACAGCACACTAGGGAAGGAGCCAGGGTCCAAAGTGCCATTCTGACCTCCTTGTTTGATAACCTTCTTTTCCCCGCCCTGCCCCAGCTTCCCTTCTTTTGCCCATGTGACTCTGCCCCTTTGTTGGGCCTGAATACCGGAATATACACGTACCTGATCTACTGCTCTGGGTGCCTGTGTTTCTGCGTCCAGGTGCTACATTTTCCATAGTGTGTAGATCCAAGATTTCACTTAAATACTCCCCCACTGCGGTCGCTGAGGGGGCTTCCAGCTCTTCAGCATGTCCAGCAGCAGGGGCCTGGATGTCCTCCTCCACTGTCTCCCCAGGGACCCAGGGAGTGACTTGCTGGGACTGAACCCCAGAACTGCATCACCGGGCCACTGGGGGAGACTCTTAACACATTCCCTTATTTGGTGCCAGCCCCCTTGCTGGGCAGACTGTCACTCATGAGGGTCACCAGCAGAACCCAAGGGTTTGTTGAGTCACACCTCACCATCATCCCTGACCACCTGTCTAGTTTTTGTAGATATTGTGACCTGTGGCTGAATCTTATTTTATTTGGCATATCTCTGATCGTAGCCTTGTGGGTCTATGGGTCTCTTCATGAGGCTTTGGCCATTCACACGGCCTCTTCAGAGTGAAGGTAAATGGTTTCCAGAAGTGGCTGCACCTGCCACCGCCTCCAGGTCGGATACTGCCCCTCCCACCAGCATACGGGGTCTACCTTTGGGACCTGCATGTCCAGGCCCAGGGGACTTCAGGTAGCTTTCCTCCTCCTTGAAGTCCACATTTGTACACTGAGGTCTAGGCAGGTCCTGGCAAAGCCGCCTGAAGAGGGACCCTGGAGAGTGTTGGACATCCCAGGTGCAGCCAGTGACCCTGACCACACCACCTAGAACCAGGACTCAGCCGCCCCATCCAGAGCAGAGAGATGAGCCAAAGAATCTGTTTCACTCCTGAAATGCTGGTGTGCTTTGTTAGGCAGCCACAGAAAGCAAAACAAAGATTTTTGCTTTGCGAGGTTTTGTCCTTTCTGACCTCTGGTGCTGCCTGTGGGTTCCGGATAAGCTCAGGGTACTTTTCCAATGACCTGGCACCCCCAGCCCACCACCACTCACTTCCTCCTACACCGCCACCAGCGGATCACAATGGTGCCCAACCTCAGCCCACAGATCTTCCCTCGGCCCAAGAGTGGCCAAGCCCTTCCACGCAGACAGGAGCCACAAGCAGGGGAACAGTCCTGGGAGGGACAGGAGGTTTCTGGGGGGGGCAGAGAGGGTTGGTCACCAGCCAGAAGAACAGGGTACCCCAAATCTGGCTAAGGTCCAGCTTCAAGCAACAGCAAACTGAGACCACCTCCCTCCTCACGGGCTCCACTCAGACCTCCCCTCTTCCTTCCATGCAGCAATAAGCGTCAGCTGATTTCTCCGGGTCCCAGCCCCGGCTGCCTCCTCAGGGGATTCCTCCCCGACCACCCTGGCCTCAGGGTCAGTGGTCATTTTCTTCTTACCATGACTGAATCATGACCAAGAGTCACTTTATCTGTTTGCCTTCCTACTGCCTGGCTCTTCCACCAGGGTAGGAGGGGACAGGAACCAGCATGTCACAGCTTCTGAGTAAAGGTTTATTGAATGAACATATGGGAGAATGAGGTAACATAGAAATGAGCCAAACAGACCCCAGATCAGCTGGCAAGCCTGCTTCTCCTACACCCGGTGTAGATTTGTGCATCCAATACACACTGAACCCTTGCTGTGTGCCAGACAGGTCCAAGTCCTGGAGTTACAGCTGGGAACAAAATAAAGTCTGTATTTTTCTAACTTTAGGTGCCATAAACAAGAAGTTACATGACCCACAGTTCTAAGTGCTAAGACAAACAGAGGCGGAGAGAGACAAGGACAGCACCTCACAAAGGTGGTCCGGGAAGTGTCCCCAGGCAGGTGATATCTGAGCAGGAATTTGAACAAAGTGAAAGCAGGAGCCTGGCATATATTTGGGACCAGTGTTCTGGAACTGCATATGCAAAGGGCCTGAGGCAGAAGAGCATGAGTATGTGGAGGAGAAAAGAGAGGAGAGAGCAAAAGAAATGGAGCTTGGAGCCCAGGCATCTGGGGCTCTGACGGGCTGCTGGGCTTAGAAAAACAGTCTCCCATTCTGGTGTTGATTAACAGTCTTTATTTCATAGCATTTTTTTGATCACAAATATTTGAATCATGAACACTCTTGCTCACAAATCCGAGTTTCTTTTCACACGAACTTGTCCCCGCCTGTCCCACAGGAGGGCGCCCCCGACTCAGATGGGCAGAGAATGTGATTAAATACTGGCTGCTCCCCCAGGAAGGAGCTGGGGCTTGATCTCCAGCTCAGGGCCCTGTGTCTGACCCCAGCAGGCCAACACCCTGACTCAGAGGTGCGGGGCCAGAACTGGGCGCTCCTCAGGGACCCTTGGTCCCTAGGGCACAGAATGGAGAAGCGGGACCCCGCTGCTCCTTTCCGATGCTGGGCTGCCTGGACCCCTCTGGCAGAAGCTTCTGGAGTGCCTGTGCCCCTCACTGCGCAGGCGCGGGGCTGCAGGCCGCCTCTGCTGGGAGCTGGGAGTGCCGGAGTCCACGGGGTCTCCCCACCTCCAGCCACGGGCTGGCGGGGTGTCTGGGCTTCCCCATCGCTGCGAGAGGATTAAACTGCGCTGCCTGCCAGAGACATTCACCATGGGCTTCTAGGAGGCCCGATTTACTTTTCGAGTTTTCTTACCCCTGAAACTGGGACCTTTGTAAATCAGACATGTTTACCATTGAGGCAAGATGGGGACCAGCTGCCAGGAAAAGAAAAACAGGGTGACCACAGCCACAGAGGCCCCTAGGGTCTATGCAGGAGGTCCTGGCTGCAGGAGCCACGGGTCACCAGTGAGAGGCCCGGGCCCAGAATTGGTCTGACAAGGAGAAGAACCATCACGGTCTGGGCTAGGGATGTTCGCAGGTGTGCTGGGGAGCCCAGGGGTCAGCAAGGCGGCTGTGCAGCCCCGTGTCCTCAGGAAGTCACCTGTCTGTCCCCAGGGCTTGGGGGCGACCCCTGCTCTGGGTATCCCCAGGGGTGGTGCCTGAACAGCTGGTGCAGGGAGGCGCCAGCCAAGCAGAGCCCACCGAAGCCGGGAACCGCCCCAACATCTGGTCTGGACCATTCCAGCCCTCAGGGCTCTGTAGGTAAAGCTGTCCTCAGAGACCACACGGTCTCTCCAGAGAGACCTTGAAGGAGTCAGTGAGGACTGACTGCGGGGGGTGGATACAGTTTCCTGTCCCACGTGTCCAAGACAGATGCCACTCCAGCTCGCTAGTGCGGCTGACTCGGATTCTCTGATGCTTTACCCACAGGACAGGCCACAGAAAGGAGCTCATCGGCACAGAGGAGGTGGCAGATCTGGGACAGAACTGGGCCTTGAACGGCGTGACAGAGAAAGGGAAGGTGACCTAGACAAGGAGGCTCAAGGCCTGGCGGACCCAGAGGTCTCCGTGCTGCCGAGGCTGGGTTACAGAAGGGAATCACTTGACCATCTTGTAGGTCCTAGCAGCAGGTTGTTGTGCCCCTGGATATCTGCCCGGCCCGAAGGGCATCCCCTGGAAGTGTGTATTTGTCAGAGGTTGTGCAGCGTGTCATTCCCCAAGGTGAGTGGCAGTACGGTGACATTGGCCAAGTGGTTACCAGCCCAGTCTGGGAAGGTGCCCAGCTGAAAGATACTCTGCGCCCAGGTATTCATGGCCAGGCTGAGCAGCAGCACGCCCATCACATTCATCAGGAAGCCGGTCCTTACCTGAAACAGAGCTCAGACTGAGTGGGGCTTGGCACAGGCCCATTGCACCACTGGGAAAACTGAGGCTCAGAGGCAGGAGATCATTCTCTGGAAAGTCAGCAGCTGGGGAGTGACGGGCCAGGCTACAAACCCAGGTCAGTCAATGCCCGAGAACCTTCTATCTCACACCACCCAAAGCTGTCTCACAGGGAGCCGCAAGCATCCCTGCTCGCTGAGAGCTTCTGGGTGGTACCAGGCACATCCCTGCAGTTCTCACAGGGTTACATCACTTAAATGTGAGAGCAGCCATCTGAAGGTCATTATCAATCTGCCTGTTACAGAAGAATAAGTTGGGTGGCCCAAGGTCACATCAGCTGAAAGTAATCATTTAGCACGTATAGACACATGCAATGTATGCACACATATACAGCACACGCTTGTATAGACACACACACACACCCTGCAGGTCCAATTAATTTTCACTCTGAAAATGTTACCTCTGCAAGCACCTGGAAAGCTCTGGTCCATTTGTCCCCTCCCCTGGTTGGTCTCTTGTACTGTTCAGTCCACCTCGGGCTCCCGTTTGGGTTTTCTGGTTGCTTCCTGTTAGCATTCCTCCCCCAGGCTCAGGCCCATGGTGGGGAAGGACTCTCCGCCCAGGCCTCCCACGAGCCCATGGCTCACAGTGCCAGTCTCCCTGGCGCTCTCCTGCCTCAGCCTTCTCAATGCCTTGCCTGCTGCCCTTGGCAACAGGGAAAGAGGTTTGGTACCTTTCCAGGGAACTGTCATCAGGGAAAATCTAACTTATTTTTTATTATTTCTTTGAACGTACCACCAGTTTTCTGTGCATGAGTGCACTGGAAACTTCTTTCCACACATTCTTATTTAAGTTTTTAAAAACACACAAAGTCAACTTAGCAAAATTGTCGAATAGAAGGATGGGTCACAGAAAGGGCAAGCACCGTGAAGGTGAGAGGACAAACATAAGGTCACAAGTGCCGTGCTGTGCTGTGCCTCCCTGTCCCAGAGGGGCTGAAGCCCCTGGCACCTTTAGGGGAGGGGACAGTCCCGGCTGGGCTCTGGGAGCCTGGCTCCAATTCCTGCTGGGCCCATAGTGTTGCTGTAATTAGCATGGAAGCCCTTACTCTGGGCGGCAAACCCTGAAGGAGGCTCAGGGATCGGCTGCCTGAGGCGGCCTCTTGGCACCTTCCCCAGCTCATGGAGTGTAACTCTGCCTCTGGGGGCCTCTCCTTCCTCTCGCTGTCTCTTTGCTCCCCAGACCTGAGCTGTGTGCAGCCTGCCAGCTTCCGCACCTGTCCCTCCTGCCCCAACCTCCCTACTCACCAGCCAAAGCGATCCTGTAAGGCAGAAGTTAAAGCAACCACAGCCCTGCGTACAACCCCATCCAGGCCTCCCACTGGGGTTTGAATAGTGCGCAGGCCTGTGCCCTGCACTGTGTCCCCCTCTCATCCCCGTGTCTGTAACCCATCCTGCTCCCCTCTGCCACAGCCCCAGCGCACAGAGCTGCTCCCTGCTCCAGCCCTGTGCCCCTCTGCTGGGTCGGTTTCTCCAAGGCTGGCTGCTTCCCACTTCGCTCCCAGCTCGTATGTCCCCTCCTGGGAGAGGCTGTCCCTGCCCACCCTACCTAAGGTGGCCCCCATCATCCTCTTCCTCTGCCCCATGCCCCATGCCCCATGTTTTATTTCCCTCCTAGCACTTAGCAATAGCGAAATCTACATTATTAGAAACATCGGCTGATCTTGTCCAATGTCTGTCTCATCGGTAGCAAACGCCTCCCTGAAGATGGCTCTGCTGCCCCTGGTGGTCAAAGCATGTAGTGCATGCAGCGTAAACCCAGCCAGGAATGGTCAGGGACCATCATCCATTCCTCCTGCCTGTCCTGCCTCTCTTCTATTTTGCTCGCACTTCAGCCATTCATCTCGCTGGGGTCTTGTGCCTGGTTAGGCAGATGGCACTTCTGGGCTGTGGGCAGCTCAGGACACTGGAGAGGGAAAAGCTTCAGGTGGTAGGGAGCCTGGCTAGCGGAAAGGAACACGTTGTCGGTGGCCCTCTAAGAGGTGTTGGGGTGGCCTTGCCCAAACCTCAGCTTTCACCCATCTCACCCCCTGGCAATGAGACCCAGTCCTAGATCTCTAAATCCCTGGTGCATCTGCTTCCCCTGCCTCCTAAAGATTCTGGGCATGGAGCACTGGCAAACAAGCCGGAAAACAGAGTCATGTTCAGAGACAGACAGACAGACAGACAAACAGACGGGCAAGTCCCTGTCTCTGAAGCCAACCATGGAAAGTCATTACCAGGCAGCGTTTCTGGTAACAGCCTACAGGGTTTCATCCGTGTTTGCCTAAGCCCCGACTCAGAATGACCCGCCCAGAGGCTGGGGTGGGTTGGGGAGGTCAGGGTCCTGCTGCCCCCCCCCCACTGTCCCAGGCCACTGGTAGAAATGCCCAGACTCACCATGTCTTTGACCAGCAAGTCTCCAGAAGCGAAGGCGATGGAGTTGGGGGGTGTGGAGACTGGTAACATGAAGGCGTAGGAGCAGCCGACCGTGCCCGGGATCATCAGATACAGCGGGTGCACCCTCAGGCGGATGGCCTGGCCAGGCGGCAGGGACAAGACATGGACAGGCGGAGAGGGACCCCAGCAAGAGCGAGAGTCAGATAGTTCCCATGACATAAAGGCACAGAGATCGGCAGAGTGGCAGAGAGCAATAAAGACATATAAGAGGCAAGAGACAGACATGCAACCAGAAATACAGAGAGAAAAGCCGACCAGCCGAGATCCAGGCAGGGAGGTAGAGAGACATTGCAAAGGTCAGTGACATTGCAGGCCCACACTTCAGTTTCATTAGAGAGGCCAGGGGCGATTTATCCAGAACCTTCCTTCTCAAGTGCACATGCATCCGAATTACCCAGCATGCCCCGAAAACCCAGATGATGACTCCACTTCCCCAAGACTAGCTGATCCTGATCGTGTAGGTCTGAGTGAAGCCCGTGACTTTTATCTCCCACAAGTTCCCCAGGGGATGCTGCATCTGGGAGCCAGGGCTCTAACAGGACCACTGCCCTGCCTGGTCCTTCCTCAGCCAAACCGTCCCAGCAGGTGCCTCTGGGTGCCTGGATTTCAGAGACAGGAGAGCTCACGACAGCGTCCACTGTCAAGAATTTCCCATTTCAAAACGCATGCAGGAAGCATGCCTGTGGGTTGGTCTCCAGCAGTGGGCCACCATTTGTCCACCTCTCCAGATGGCTAGATTCACCCACGTCACACTGACCATGTTGCTAATGGTTCACTTAAGGCAGAATACATTGGGGGGTCCTCAGAATATATTATTTCCCCCAAAAGCTCCCACCCACATCACCCTTTTGTGTGTACATGTCTTGAATCTGATGAGAAGTAGAATTTCAAAGAATGTGTCCTCCACAAGTGTCTCTTTCAGAAAACGTTGCCCCTTCCATCTGTATTTCCAGGCCCCTCCAATCTGACTGATTAAATCCAGTTCCACGTGGAGGGTGTGAAGCCTCACACTCCCCCCAGCTCTGGAAGAGTAAATTGGGGAGCCACTTTGGGATGTCCTTTGTTGATATCTGACAACAGTTAAGTGCACGTGCTCTTTAATCTAGGACTCTGCTGTAGAAATTTCTCTAGAATTAATCAAGGACACAAACCTGAGACAAAGTCAAGATGGGACTGTCACCTAACAGTCTGGAGATGCCTATATGTGACTACTAGGAGCAGATTGCTTAAATAAACCTACAACCGCCCGATTACAATGGAACATTTGCCAGTCATTGCAAAAGTAACAAGTGTGCTCTGCACTGAAAAATGATGTCCATAATAAGCAAACCAAGCCTTCCCAAAAGGTGGTGCAGATTGAGCTGCTGACTGGATACCAAACATATGTACTTGCAACAGCGGTTTAATTTTATGAACTTTGGATTATATTAAAATAATTATGGTTTGAACTTCTTTAATCTGTTTACATATAAAGCCACTGTATTAATAGTTTCCTAATGTTAATCCTTTGGAAAATTCCTGCTATAAAATCTGCCTAACTGGGCTGTATTGTTTGTATGCAATCCTGGGTTCACTTTGCTACAGTAGCTGCATTTCCATTTACACGAGAGATCTGATGCTTTTCCACCTTTGCTCTCTGTGTCTGGATTTGGTGTCAGGTTTGCAGATCTCACCAAGCGGTGCATGGCTTTCTCCGCCAGCAAAAAGGGTCTGGATCAATCATTCCAGGCCCTCCCTGATGAGAGCCTCCTGGGCTGGTGGTTTTAGAGCAGAAGTTCTCTACCAGCTGTGATCTGTCCCCACAAAGAACACTTGGCAGTGTCTGAAGACGTCTGTCATAATCCGGGTTTGACAACTTCTGTCTTCCCAGAAAACTGTCCCATGGGTGACTGAGGGAATGTGACACACTGAAAATATCGGTTCTGTCTATGCGTTTCTTGCAGAAAAATGTCTCTATTGTTTAAGAAATGGCACTGAGGCTCTGACACTTCCATGCATTTGGGAAAACAGGAATGGCAAGTACGGCCCCTGAGGATGCACCCGAATCGGGGCCCCCCTCACCCCCCAGAAGGACCCTCACCAGCTCCGCGAGGACAGGCAAGAAGATGATGATGGTGGCCGTGTTGCTGGCAAACTCCGTGAAGAAGGCGATGACGATGGTGATGAGCATCACTGCCAGGACCGGGGGCACATTCTCCAGTGGGTGCAGCTGCCCCCCAATCCACACCGAGAGCCCCGATTCCTGCGGGGCAGGGGCAGCTGTCACACTCAGCACCAGGCCAGGGAGAGGGTCGGGGTGCATCCTAACAAGGACAGTGTTGCCCTCACAGATGGGGGATCCGGCCACAGGAGGATAGGACGCATCCAAGGTTCCCCCCTTGAGCCTCAGATTCCCCGCCATGCGCAGCAGGCCGGAGGCCCACCCTGGGTCCCTGATAATGCCTTTGGTAGGGATCAGAAACACCGCTTCCGTTTGGCCCTAGCACCCTGAAGCTCCCACTTAAGTGGGAAAGGGGAGTCAGATGCTTTGTTGTAAATCTTATTCCTCCAATGGTGTTTATTAATTAACCAAATAATAACATGTAAAATATTCATCATTATACAATAACATCAACATGCAACAAATATATTGTTTATGTAATATCCCTATATATCATATATAAATAAAGTAGGTATATATATATATATATATATATATATATATATATACATACATATATATGCAAGACAATGTGATTACCCATAAGGATACTGATCACAATGCTAATAAGGCAAACATTAACATTAACACTGTGTGGTGGTTCCTTGTCATTGGCTCGGCAGACTCTGCTACAGCTCCTGTTGGGTCCTCCTAACCATGAAGTAGGGTCAACATTACTGTCCCCGATTGAGCAAGGAGCAGAAGGTTCTGTGACTTGCCCAGAGTCCCCAAAGTAGTGCCTGAATTACATCTCTAGCTCTGCAAATCTCCAGGCTACTCACTCAGCATCTCCTCCAGACCCAGTGGTCTGTCACTTTGCCTCTCCACCTCTCTCTCTCTCTCTCTCTCTCTCTCTTTCTCTCTCTAGTATGGGAGCTGGAACCCAGGCCCACGTGCATGCTGGGTAAATTCTCTCCTTCTGAACTATATCCCCAATTATTTTTAAAATTTTATTTTGAGACAAGGTCTCACAAAGCTGCCCAGGCTGGGCCAAACCTGCTGTCCTCCTCCATGCTCAGCCTCCTGAGTGGCTGCAATCACAGGCGGGCCCCACTCTTGCCCTTTGCTTTGCCTCTTAACGAACAGCAATGTCCAGAGCGGCCTGTAGTCCTCCAGGCTGGGCTCAGGATGGGTTCACTCCACTCCACTAGCACCAGCGCTGCAGAGAACCTGGGGTGCTCTCTCTGCTGAGTCCTCCAGGAATCCCTCTAGCCACCAGTATATAATATGTAACACCCCCTCCCCTCGGCCTTCCTGCCATCCAGGGTACTGTATCCTTGAACCACCCAGATCCCCCAATCTTCACAACGACCACAAAGCTGCGATGTCAACTCGTTCTCGATGCTGCCCCCTGGTGGTGCCACGCGACAAGACCGCAATAAAGCTGCAAGGGCAGGTTTTTAAATTTATCTTTCCACAAAAGTAACAGAGGTAGGAACGTGGTGATGCCTGCCTGTAACTCCAGCACGCTGGGAGGCGGAGGCAGGTGCATCACAAGTTCGAGCCCAGCTTAGGCAACTTAGCATAATTTAGACCTTGTCTCACAAATAAAAAAGGGTTGAGAGTGTAGTTTAGTGTGAAGGTCCTGGGTTCAATTCCCAGTACAAGAAAACAACAAGAAATAACAAGCTGTAGGCTAAGAAACGAGCAAGGCAGAGTCAGACTGGCCTCTTAACGCTGGGATTAAATGTATTCCCACCACAGTCCTACAGTCCTTTTACCAACCCAGAACCCTCTGGCACCACCATAATCGTTTTATCATAAAAAACTTACACTTTTCTTTTATAGGTAATGGAATATTTACTGTTTTTTAGAACTTAAAATTTTATCACGGGTTCTAGAATAACCATATTGTTTTTCTTTTTGTTTTTCTGAGACAGGATTCATTAAGTAGTTCAGGCTGGCTTTGAACACACTGTGTAGCCCAGGCTGGCCTCGAACTCCTGGCGATCTGCCTGCCTCAGTTTCCCAAGTTCTGGGATTACAGGCATGCACCACACGCATGCACCATATGGTCTTTATGAAAATAAAATAATGCATTCTCTCCTACTATATGACTTAAAAATTGCCTTCAATGCTCAAATCACAAATGCTTAAAACTGTCTCACCCCAGGAAAGTCCTGGGGGACGGATGGGATTGGCTGTATCTCTGCTCTGTTGGCCAGCCTGGCATAGCCCTCCCCCAGCCAGGGGTACTCCAAGGAAGAAATGGACCATGGGCACTTTCGGCTGTGGCACAGAGACCAGCAGCAGGGTGTTCAGTTAAACGGAGAGGGCTGCTGGGTGAATGCTAATGACCTGGGTGAGGGGACAGACGCCAAGAGCTTCCCGCAGGTTGGCCTCTCAGTGCCAGGCTTCCAGCCAGCACCCCGCAGCCACTCGGGGCCCGGCGTTGTGGGGAAGTCCGGCAGCTTCATGAAGGAGGAAAGCTTCTAGCCTCCTGGGGTTCTGTTGGGACACTAAGGGGACTTCCCCAGTCCCTTAGGAATCGGAAGCTGCGTTTCCTTGGAAACACAGGTTCCCAGGGATACCAGGGACCAGCAACAGCCAAGGTCCAAGGCGGCAGGATGGGGGGTGAGGAGGAAAGGCTTTGGGGTCAGGCCATGGGTGCAGCCCAGCTTCATCCCTTCCAGCTGCCATCCTGGGCAAGAAACTTAACTCCTGCAGGCCTCAGTTCCCTTGTTTGTAAAGCCAGGGCGCTAACACACGGCCCAGAGGACTGCTGTTGGGAGAAAAGAAATCGATCAGTAAAGCACCTAGAAAAGAGGCCGGGTCCCTGGTGGACACCTCAGTGTGTGCCAGCTGCACTTCTCGGTGGCATCAAGCACGAGAGGCTGGAAGTGGTGGAACCCAGAAGTCACCCAATGCAACGGTTGTCAGGCTGTGTCCCATAGGGATCCCCAAGGGGACCAGGGGACCTACGACCACTGTGCAGGACGTGGGGAGGGGACCTGGGCTGCCAGCCCGATCCCTCCCTCCCTCCCTCACCTGTCCAACCTCAGCCAGACCCTCCTTTCCTGACGGCTTTTTATATAGGAGGGTCATGGCTTACAGGGAGGACGCTATGGTTTAATGATTAGGATCAGAATCCCCTGTGGGTCCTTGAAGATCTTTTAAAAGGCTCAAAAAACAGTGGCCTTGACAGGTATGTGCAACTCTGAAATCATTCTTAGGCAGAAAGACCAGCAGATTGGACTACAAGGAGGAAAAAAGAAAGATTGTGTGCACATTCAAACTTGCAGCCCTGGCAAGATGTGTGATCTCACAAGTTATTTAACCTGTCTGGTTCTGGATTCTTTAAATGATTGTGCTAAGGTGCAAACAAGCACATGTAAAAATGGCCTGAGTACATAGTAAGCATAGTATCTGACTTGTTATTTACTTAGTATAACAAGCACTCAAGTTAGTGCTTACTCTGCACTGAGCACTCTTCTAAGTACAGTAAAACCTCACAGGTGATCAGCGTCTAACAGCAAGAGGCTGGGAGGAGCTCTTATCTGCAGAAGAGGAGGAGGAGGAGGAGAAAAAGGCAGAGGATTTCTCACTTCAGATGAGATTAGGGAGAGACATAAAATGGGGAGGGCATCACATTTCCACACAATAGTCAAAAGGAGGCCAAAGCAAGTGTCACCGGATAGGTTCCTTGGTAAACTGCCCACTCAGCAGCAGTGACTCTGACAGTGCCAGTGAAAGTCATACTACACAATAACCGTCCCCTCTCTCATGCTAGCCATGAAGGTTTTCAAATGGAAGTGCAGGTTAATTTGTTTGTTTCTGTTTATATTTTGTATTTTCCTTATTACTTTGTATAAATGAAAGGATTCTCATCATTTTTCTGTATTTTTGGTCGTGGAACCAGTCACCTGAGCTTTCATTGTTTCCTATGGGAAACTCACTGTGATACACAAGTGCTTTGTATTACAAGCATGTTTCCAGCATGCATTATGCATACCAAGGATCACTGTGCTTTGTTACTATGAGCTCATTTAACTTTCATAACAACCCAGTGAAATAGATAATAGAATTATCCCCATTTTATGGTTGAAGAAACTGAGGCACAAAAAGAGTAAGTGATTTTCCCAAAGGAGGGAAGTGAGTTTTCTAGTGATTCTGAACTCAGAGGCTGGATCTTACGATAATGATGCTAACAATCATAATAAAGCTGACTGATTTCTAGCAGAAAACCAGGGGGCATTTTTATGTGCCTGTAGGGTTTGCTATGCTACCTTAATATCAAGCTTCTGTAACTTCGGAAATTTCAAGTTGTTTGTTATAGTGATTTTTTACATATGAAGGCAACAGAACAAGACCAAGCTTTTGTCTCTGGATGGCAGCATGTTAGTGGCAGGGACAGGGACAGGGACAGGGACAGGGACAGGGCAGAGTGCCCCCAGCTCTCTTCCAGTTACTTTCCCTACATCATCTTATTACTTCCAAAGTACCCCATGCTATAGGTCCTGCTGACATATACTTGTTAGCACTGTGCAGTCCTGGGACCCTGGTCTGATGCCTGAACCCGTGGTGGAAGGGACAGATATGTCCCTGTCCTTATGTAGCTTGCCTCCCTTCTCCCAGGAGAGACCACCCACAAACATGCAGCTGGACAGGATCATGGCGGGGGATGTGGTATAAGGAAATAAGCAGAACACTGAGAAGGAGAGGGGCTGGGGGTGGGCTCTACTCTAGATGGTGGTCAGGAAGCCCATCTCCAAGGAGCTGAGAACTAAAGACTGAGGACTTCGAGATCTCAAGGAGAATACTTGACACAGCAGGTGCAAAGGTCCTGGGGTACAAGTGAGTCTGGGGTGGTTGAGGAATGGCAAGGGTCCGTGGAATAGAGGGAAGTAAAGAAGTAGGAGAAGTAGGTGACAATGTAAGGGTGGTATGTAGGGCCCAGGCTGTGTGTGGCCCTGCGTGCAGATCCAGGAAGTCTCTGGGTGCTGGAGTTGCAGGTAAGTTCCAGGAAATGCTTCCAGCACTGGGAAGCACACACAGCCAGCACCCACCCCACCCCTGACCTCCAAGCCTCTGGAGGCCTGCTACAGCCCAGCAAAGGCCCTGGACAGACTCCAGGGGCCTGGGCGTCCCATAAAATTCTGGGCATTGTGGGGTCAGGCTGAGGTTGTCCTCAGATGGGACGGCACTGGCCAAGGCTGGAAAAGGGGCAGCTACCACACAAAGACCAGTTGAGCAAAAAGCCTGGTGGCTGCCAGGGCTGGGCACAGAGCCAGACTGGCTTCCCGGCATGCGTCCTGGCCCTGCTGCCCGCCCCCAGGCCACAGGCACCCCTCGCTGAGCCCGGAGAGGCCTCTGGGAGGCAGGGTGGCCTCAGGGCCAGGCCGGGTCTGGACTGCCTCCCTCGCAGGCTGCTGGGAACCTGCAGGGGACGCCTCACGGGAGGCACAGGGACAGGTCCAGCACCGTGTGCCACCGCCCTGTCCTCCTGCGGCCCGTGAGTCACTCTGCGGTCCAGTCGGTGCCTCACTCCTCCTTCTCCAGGGCACTGGCGCTGAGGATGGGCCCACGAGGTGGTGGCACGATCTCCCAATATGGCAGATAGGAGGCTGGCTGCGCCTACGGGGCCTGCGCCATCCCTGTTCCTGTGCTGGAGCAGCCGTCCCCGGGCCCCCTCAGCACTCACCTCACAGCCTTTGGCCATGGCAAAGCCCCCTCCCAAGAGAAGGATGATGTTCCAGGGCACTGTGTCCTGAGCCTTCTGCCAGGTCAGCAGGGGCTTGGTCTCCACGCTGGGAGCTGGGCAGAGAGCACAGGGCACCTGGTTAGACACTTGGCCAGAGGAAGGCCCCACAGGCCCAGCTGCCTGTTTTATGGGGATGCCCAGGGGTCCCAAGAAAGCCAAGGTCTGACTCTAGAGCCTACTTTTAGAGAGTTAGGAAGAATCAGAATGACAGACTCAGAATGTTCTAGAACCCACAGATTCAGAATGTTCTAGAACCCACAGATTCAGAATGTTCTAGAACCTACAGATTCAGAATGTTCTGGAACCCACAGATTCAGAATGTTTTGGAACCAGGCTCTCTACCAGGACAGTGTTTCAGTCTCCCAATAGCCCTTCTGGCTAAATGCTATTTTTAATCCTGATTCACGAGAGAAAAGGCCTTCTTTGTATTTGAATTTGTTCAGAGAAGGAGAAAAAAAGGAGGAAATCTAGAAAAACAGAACTAAGGGTCCTTCAGCCATAAACGTTCACTGAACGGCACGGAACGTCCTCAAATGCCACAGTGTGTTGAAGGTGTAAGAAGGTGGCGCAGACATCGGGAAGCTTCCTCTGGCCAGGGTTAGAGAGTGGACGGCTCAGGCTTTGACGGCCACCCCTCCCGTCCGGAAGGTGACTGACCTGTCACTGCACTGCGGAGCAAGCTGGGGACGACCCAAGATCCCGGCCCCGCGGTGCTCAGGGAAGCTGTGCTCACGACAGCCAGGGTGGACTCGGCCAGGCCTGCGGGTTCCGCCCCTCCCTGGTGGGAGCACGGCCCTGAGTCAGGCCCTCCAGGCGGGCCCTCTCGGGTGCTCATGTCCTCTGCCCACACGGGGCTCAGTCACAGCGCCTGGAGGGTCCCTGTGAACATGCCGGAGGCCGCCATGGACCTGTCGTGACAGCTGCGTCCCCGGGGACTAGGACAGTGAGTGGCCCTCGAGAAGACTCCATGGGTATGAGTCAAGTGACATCTCTGAGCCACTGAGCCCAGTTACGGTGCAGAGCGGATCTCAGACAGGCCCTGTCCGGGGACGAGGGGGCAGCCTGGCTCCTTCCTCTCTGCTTCCCACCACACTTGCTGGTCAAAACCGGGAACCTTGACAGCTTGCTTCTCCTCTTTAGCTTTACCCAAATTTAGCACAGTGGTCCACCTGAAGCCAGATGCTACCATCCTGACATACAGTAAAAGCTTCCTGGACACGTTGGCGCCAGGCCACTGCACGCAGCCCACGAGTGTGTGCATGCAGGCAGGTGCACGCTGCCCGGGGACTCCTGGGCCTGATGCAACATTCGTTCGGCCCAGAGCTGAGAGAGGGGAGTGGAAGGGCAAGTGGCCCAACTCTCTGCGCGGTGGGTGATTGTTTAAAAAATTTTGTTTAAAAGTAGGAGAGGGTTGAACAAGTAAAGTGACCTGTGCCATGTGGCGTGTAACACTGTGACAGGGCAGAGGGGGCCCTGACCGTGGTGTCAGGCCATGCAGACTCACTGCCAGTGCTCATCAGGCTGCCAGCCGCGTACCAAGCGCTCACTTTGCGTCGGTGTTACTGTCCCTGTCACTCCCCCAGCACACTCTGTTTCCCTGCGCACGCCCCGCCATGTGAATTTCCTACCGCTGGCTCAACTCTCCACCAGCCGGCAGCCTCAGCAGTGGCTAAGGGCACGGGCTTCGAATCCCACTTGAATCCTAGCTCTGTGCCTTCTGACTGCCGTGGCTAGGGACTCCTCCTCTCTGAGCCTTGGTGACCTTGTCTGTGCGATGGGGTAGCAGCATTCCCTCGGAGACTTGCTGGTGAGAGGACACGGTCCCCTGGATAGCCAGGGCCTAGTCCAGGGCCTGGCCCACAGCAAGAGCTGCTTCTCCATTTGGCAAACACATGCAGAGTGCCAACCATGTGCCCAGGATGGACTCCCTGGACGCCAGGGACACAGAAGGGCAGCACGGAGACAAGGCCCCTCCCCGGACAGCTGACACTCCAGCGGGGCGGGCAGGTAGGAAACAAATATGGGATGCTGGGAAATTCCATGTGCTATGATGGAAAATAAAGTAGGGTAAAGAAATCGGGTGACATAAAGCGTGCTCTTCTAGGCGGCTACTGGGGGGCGTCTGGACAGAGCCCTGAATGCAGGGATGGAGTGAGCCCCACAGACTGGAGGACAAGCTGGCTGACCCAGAGGAAGAGGGAGTCACCGTCATCATCAGCATCCTCATCTTCATCCTCAAAGTGCGGCCACCACAGCGCATGCGCGGACCGCCGTGGGCCATGAATCAAAACCCGGTGAATGACCGCCACAGGGAAGGCTGCGTCACCCAGGTCGCAGAAGAACGGAAGACGGTGGGCCGGACTTGGCAGGAAAGTCAGTGTGGCCTGGTTCCTACCTCCTGCCCCATTTTAGCCAGTGTGGGACCTTCTTCAGGTCACTGTCTCCATGGAAACCCACTGTGTGTGTGGTCACTCAGCAAGCCTCGGTGCCAAATGCTCCCAAGCGTGTGAGTCCCACTGGTGCTCACAGAGCCCTCCTCCTTGTGAGGCGGTGCGGGAAACCCCAGTTCAGCAGTCTTCAGTGCAGGTGACACGCTGATACTCACACCGAACTTGGCACACACAGGGGTGTTAGTGCAACTGGTGTCGGCAACAGGAGCTTGCTTGCAATTTAAATGCATTGTCAACATTTAAATCAGGGATGGTCACACAGAACCACAGATCTTGGCTTCCCTTAAAAAATCAGCAAATTAGCTCTTTTACCCTCGTGGTGACAAATGGTAGAAACTGCTCCCTTAAATGGACACCAGCGGGCTGAGTTTGCAGGGCCATTTTGTATCACCTGCTGCCACTGCTGCATTCCTGTGCTGCAGGACACCTTCTCTGTTACAAAGCTGTGACAGGAAGGTTGGACGAGGAGGGCCAGGGGTTTGGTGAGATGCATTTCCCCTCACACACTCTGCTGCAGGTAAACGTTGCCTCCATAAGCATTTGAATTTGCAACTCCTGATCTATAAATCCACAAATGCCAGAGGTGGAAGGCATCAAAGGGTTCCTGCTTTGCTAAGTGGGAAAGCCGGGCTGCGGGAACAGGGGGACTTGGTGGTCCAGAGTCAGTAGCAGAGCTGCAATACCCGTCATCTACATCAAAACTGTGTCCGCTCTGGGCACCGGGCTCTCTTGCAGGGGACAGAGGCGTGGACAGGCATCTGAGCAGTGGCATCTGGACTATAGCTGGCCAGGACCCCTGCAGCTGGGAGGTGGCCGCTGCAGGAGATCTGGTCACTTGAGAGCAAGCTGGACCCAGGAGACTCAGGCTGTTGGATGCATCAGTAGGGAACACAGATCACGGGGGAAGAGACAAGATAAATAAGGAGACAGAAGAGGCAGGAGACTGCGCCACATGCCGGAGAGGGCTGAGGGTCTGCATGAACAGAAACAAGGCCCCAAGGAAACAAACACTGCTTTCCAGTGGCAAGCAGACACAGCCGAAGTCCCAGCGAGCTGGCACCAGGAGGGAGTGGGCACAGCGAGGGAGCACAATGGAAGCTGTGACCGAGGGGGAACCAACACAAGGCAGTATTGTTGCTTTTCACACATGGGCAGAAAGCAAGAAGCTGTGAGCAGAGCCAGCTGCAAAGCAGATGGGGCAGCGGGCGAGGGAAGCCCTGAGTCCCGCTCATCTCTGCCTCCAGGGACCAGCCTGCACAGCTGCTTAAGGAGCCCTGGACTCCTGGTCTCATGCCGGGAGGACCCAGCCCGCATCAGCCATCAGCCTCTATTTCAACCACTGGGCAGTTACATAACAGCCCTGCCTCCTGCTGGCCCGCCCCTCATGCTGGGCCTGCCCCAGCCTTGTCCCCACGCAGGTGCTGGAAACGCAGTGGGGTGGTGGACGGGCAGTCTGAGGGCCAGGCGGAGGAGGACCGGCCAAGGGTGTTCGGTGAGGCTTTACAGACAGGATTTGACTGCTGGTAGGGACTCTGCCTCTGACCCCACGCTTCCTGCCTGAGCTGAGGTTTCTGCCTTCACTGTGGGGATTGGGCACAGTTTTCTACAAAGGAACAGAAAGTAAACATATGTGGCTTTGTGGCAATGCCGAGGCTACCATGGCCATACTTACAAAATGAAAGAAAATAAACTCCCACAAATGTCTTGAGCTAATGCAAAACTGTGGACACCAACATTTAAACATCATATAATGTTCACACAGCAGGAAATACTTTTTGGCCATTTGAAAATGTGAAAATCACTCTTAGATCAAGGGTTGTATAAAAGCAGACATCTCTGCATCCCCCCTGGGGATAGCTTCTATGCCTGCCCTGAACTGTCCCCTTGGGCAGCCCTAGGTCCCCAGACAAGTGAACCACTCAGACAGAGCAAGCAGACACGCAGGACCATGTGTCGGGACGGAGGGGTTGCACCGGGTCACTGACCCCCGCATGCCATGCCACAGCCCACACTCATGCCAGGCCCCAGCCTTGCCCCTCTTACCTTTGAAGTCAAGCCACCACTTGAGAGAAGGCCTTTGGGATGGGAAGAAGAACAAGATGATGACAATGGTCATGCCTGTGACAGCATCAGAAATAAACCTACAATGAGAAGGCCCCAAACCATGTGACCCTGGGCTTCTCAGCAGGCTGTGCTTGGGCAGATTGCAAAGGAGGATTCGTGGAGGGAACTGGGCCCCAGGGACAGGGACTACAGGAACCTGCAAGGCTAGATACTGTCCTGCTCAGGGCCCAACAGGGACGCATCCACCCGCAGGGGCAAATTCACAGCTCCCTGGGGCATGTAGCCCTGCCAAACAAATGCTTATCTCCCCTATGCAAAGACTCTAGGAGGAAGGACTTGTCCAAGGGAGAAAATTCTTGAGAGCTGCAGAATATCAGAGTCTATGAAACCCTGTACTCACCCTAACTGGACTCCCATAGGAGCCCTGTATGTATCTGTCCAGCTAATGCTGGAGTTCCTCCCCGTGTGGGGCGCCTCCCACACAGGTGCAGCCTGTTACACCAGTGGAGCCGAGACCCACCCAGCCTCACAGCTGCTCCTATCCTAACTGCCGCCTTTCTAGTATCTATAATGTGTCTTTTAGAGGAGACTGGTAGACCTGAGGCCCTCGGAGAAGGCATCTTCCACGTTGGATGGAGATTCAAAGGGCCAGAGAGCAGAAACAACTTGTTCAAAGCCAAACCATGGTTCTGGAGGAAATGGGCCTGGAACCCAGACTTTTCCAGGTCCAAGTTCAATGAAACTCAAAACTGTTTGCTAACAAATCCTCTTTCAGTTTGCACATTTAGAAACAGGAGCATTCAAATAGCTCAGAAGATGAGAAAGAGGACCGATATCGCCATAATCAGAGAACTGCATGTTAACTTGTTTCAAAATTTTACCCACGAATACTCCTTGATCTAAGGGGACCCTTAGACGTGGATTATGTAGCACGGTGCTATGGGTTAGATCTAGACTGTCCCCCCAGGGTCATGTAGAAGGAAGGAGACTGGATCATGAAGGCGGTCCACTCACCAGTGCATAAAGCCACTGAAAGGTGCAGAGCTGACTGTGCAGTTAGCTGGGGGGCCTGAGTGGGAGAGGGGGGTCCCTGGGGTGTGGCCTGGGAGGGGCTGTCTCCCCTGGGCTCCCCTTGGCTTGCTGCTTCCTGGGAGCCACAGTGCGGGCAGCTCCCTCCCCAGAGCCTTCCTCCATCCCTCTCCTGCTCGGAGTCAGCTGACTATGGCTGAAATCCTCTAAAAACCTTGAGCCCAGATAAACCTCTCCACTCTTAAACTGTATGCACAGTTTTATTCCAGGAATGAGAAAATGATCAACACAAAGAATGCACCTTATCAATAAGAGTAGAACAAACAGAAGGATTGTTTTTTTTTTATAAAGATGTGTTTAAATAAACTGTGTTTCATCCAAATTACAAAATACCCTGCACCTGTTTTAAAACGATAAAAGAACAATGCTAGTCTTTGTGTAATGAGAGAAATACAACTAAGATATCTTGTACATTTTTCGAAAACCAAGGTTTTATTTGTAGTATTATGTGCAATCTAATAACGAATTTGTTAAATAAATTAAAGTGCTCCTGTTCTATAGAACAGTGAGGTGTTTAAAAAGAATTCAGCAAATGCAAAATAGCAAGTTGCCCATGAGCACGCTCTTCCCCAATCTGTTATCACATTTATGCATGTATCTACGCATACATACCTGACTCTATAAATCTATATATGAATGAAATATTACATGTCAAGCTGTTCATCATGGCTGACCTGGGGAACAGGGCAGACAGTGGATAAAGGGGAACCAGCAGTTAGTTTTTTAGCTCCATATTTGAATTTTTGAGTATGCAGAACTTTTTTTGTGGTGGTTCGGACTGAACCTAGGACACTGAGCTCTATCCTCAGCCTTTTATTTTATATTTTATATTTTGAGATAGGGCTGTGCTAAGTTGCCCAAACTAGGCTTAAAATTGCAGTCTTCCTACCTCAGCCTCCCAGAGTGCTGGAATTTCAGGCATGAGCCACAACACACATAACTGACTGCATAACTTTTGTAATTAAAAACAAGATGATCATAAGTAGCAGGTTTAACTGTGATCACATTTCTGTTAGACACAATCTTGTTTCAGTGGGGTTCTTTTTAGCTGTCATGTTTTGATTGAAGTGAAATTAACATGCAAAAAAATGTATACAGGACTGTGGACACTTGTCAAAACTCCTGGAATTGTACCTATGACGTAATCAAAACATAGAAGAGTTCCAAGACAGAGTTTTAAGGTCAGAAAAGGTGTATATCAGAAGTGGAGACTGAGATCCTAGTTGATTGTCACTTTTTTTTTAATTGTTGGAATGATTATCATAGCCTTTTTTTTTAATCTGGAAAAAAATGAAGAACCTACATTCTGGAAAAAGAAAACAACAGTAATAGTAATAAGAGCCGCTTTTTTGAACTGTAATTGTTTTTCTCTTATCACAACCTGCAGCCATTTAAACCTTTTACCACTTACTTTATTGGTGAGGACTCTCAGGTCCGTGGGGAGGTCCCTAGAGCCGTATGGTCCAAAGTGACCTGCTGCCGCTGGCCGTGAGTGGCTAGTGGGCACGTAAAATCTTGCAAGAGCAAACTGAGAAGTGCATTAAGTGTAAAGTACACAGCAGCTCTTGAAGATTTAATAACAAGGAAAGAAAATATTGCCTACCGTCACATACTGCTTAACAGCAAGGTCATGTTCTAAGAAATGTTGTTAGGTGATTCCATCCTTGTGCAAATATCATGGAAGTTGCTGATACAAACTAAGCTGACCTTACCTCACTCAGCCATGTAATCTACAGGACCACTGGTGTACACGCAATCTCTCACTGACTGAAGTGTTATTTGGTGTGTGACTATATATAATTTTTACAATGTATATATTAAACATACTATTTTAACTTTTATCTGTTTTTCAACTTTCATGTGGCCATTAAAAATTTTTTAAATACATACATAACTCACATGTTATGTCTCTTGCATGGTGCTGACCAAAATCATCAGAGCCTACCAAATCTACAGACACGTGACCCATCTGTGTATGTTCTGGTTCAGAGCAGAATGTGTCACAGTGCCCACTTGCTGGCCCCTAACCTACCGCCTCTCATGGCCTGGGTGAGCTCACAGCTTGGGGTCCTCCTCCTGCTTCTCTCAGAGGCTCTTTTCTCCCACCCAGCTAAGCATTAGGAACCCTCTACTCTCCTTATATTGTTCCCAGCAAAGCTCCCTTGATTCCAGTGATTCTATGTCCTGAGTTTACACAATGACCCTCACATTGCTATCGAAACCTAAACACCTCCTCTGAGTTCCAGTTTTGTAAACCCAACTGCCTACTAAGGCATGTGAAGGACAGAGTGGACTTCAGAAGTCTGAACCAAGTCCAAGAGGATTTGCTGAAAATCCACCCAACCCCTAAAGGATGTTCCCCCCGGTCACCACTGTTCACCTAGGCCTCCTTTCCCTGGTGCCCCAAAGCCAGCCCAGTGCAAGGTCTGTCCCATCTAACTGTGAAGTATATATTGTGGTTTAAGCATGAAATGTTCCCCCACAAACTCATGTAATCAGTGATTAATCCTTTGATGATTTCTCTGACCACTAACTGTTGTGTCAATTTGAATAATAAACACCCAACTGGCTGTTTAGCATGGTGTTAGGTGTAGCTGAATGGATTTACTAAAAATGGAAGACCCACCCTGAGTGGGAGCGGTACTGGCTAACAGGCTTGTAGCCTGAATGGAATGAAAAGGAGAAAGAAGGCTTGGTTCCGTTCTTTGGCAGAGCCCCAGCCTTCCCCTCCACTGGAACATCCATCTCCTGGCTTCCAGTGTAGAATCCAGCCTCCAGGCACATTCTTCAGCCTTCCAGTGCAGACCCTTCGGCCTCCTGATTTAGGTTTTTAAGGGACTCTACAGTGAGCTCCAGGCCATCAGCTTTCCACTGGACCCTTTGGCTCTCCAGCATGCAGACAGCCCCTCTGCACTCTTCCACACATGACTCTGCATGAGTGTGTGTGTCTTATGTCAAATTTACTTCTCTAGTGACCACTGATACAGACTTTGGTACCAAGAGTGGCTTTAGAGACACAACTGTAACAATAAAATCCTTTAATGGCTTTAGTGATTCTAAATCAGCTTTCTAATCTGATGAGACCTCAAGATGACATGGTCACTCCTTCAGTAATGTCTGGAGTACTAATAGCATGAATTGTTTAAAATACTATGCAGTGTATATCCATTTGATTGTATTAAGTCACCATTTGTGAGATGCAAGGAATTTAGTGACTCCATATAAGACACTTTTGAATATTTTTGGCAGAGTGAAAAACATGTTTTTGGCTGGTTACTCTGAGCATCTCTGGACGAACTAGTGAAGAAAAATATGAGCTCAAAAAACTGCATAGAAAATCAAGTCTTCTAATGTGAAAGCAAATAAGGAGCTCAAACATTCAGATTTGCATATAAAGAATCTAAAAATTGCTAAGTATGCCCTAAAAGACACTCTTCTCTCCTTTAGCCCCCGGGCTGAGATTGCCGAAACCCAAACACAAGCCCTCATAATTTGATAAACTGAAAAACAGCATGAGTGTCATGCTCAGCCTGGAAGGGTATCTGAAGTAAAGGTGGGTGCACTGACTGGAAAAGAATGGGGGTCCTGATGAGGTTAAAGACACCGAGCATCTAGACTCTAATGACATTATTCTGCCAGAGAAAGAGACTTCCCTACCCACAGTGGTGGAAGCACCCCACGTTCACCATGTGATGTTGGCCATTTGTCTTATACCCGAGGAAATTAACCCCATGTTGACCAAGCATGATAATGTTGGCATTCCTCAGGACCCAGCAAAATCACCCATTTTCATATCTAGGATTAAAACAAGGCTCCAGTGACAGAAGGGTCCTAAGGAGGAGGCACATAGTGTGACCTATGTCGAGGACCACGATAGTCCCAAAGAACTTCTTGAGTTTTCTAACTCATAATAAAGCAGAGGCAAGTGGGGGAGTGGATTCTAAGGACAGGGAATAATTGTGGCAAAATATTCACCTGGACCAGGCTG